TAAATGTTCAAATGATATGTAGTTATTTATGCAAGTCACATCAACAGCTGGAAAGTACTAAACATCCTTAGAACTAGAACTCTCATCTTTCTACTAGTTTTCTCTACCTTCCTTTGAAGTCTGACACTGAGCGATCAATAGCTGCTAACATATTATCCTATGACATGTGTAAAATAATATGAACTACTAAGATTTTTTTCTTTCAGTAATCCTGTGATGAAAAAAACCCGTAATTACTTTAATGATGTACTTAGAAAAAGGATTATCTACAACAGAAAATCACAAGGGTAACACTAATTAAAAGGTGTCTCAATTTATTACTATGAATTTTCCACATAGCCCAAATGCATTAATTTTGCCTCGTATCTGCAAAGGCTGTTTCATATTACACATTTAACACCAGCAATGAAGGAACACAGGAGAGCACCAGTCTGGCTTTTCTGTTATGAAAAGCAGAATGAACAGTGACATAGGAGGCAACCAAGACACAAATATAAAACTGACATTATCTTATTAATTATAACAAGAATCCTTTATTGAGCACCTACTAACTGTACCAGGCACTGAGTATAGACTGGTGAATAAACCGGGTATTACTTTGACCTTCAGGCTAAGAAAGAAACATTAAGTAAATAATATATAAGTTATGATACACACAAAAAAGGCAAGATAGATGGATTGTGCTATGAGGGAGAAAATAAAGAATTTCTTAATGACATGATGCTAAGGATAGGGTCTTCTCAGAGAAGAAATTTATAGAGAGGATATTTGAATCCATATCCAAGGATGACAAATTACTCAAGGAGATGGTCCTAAAATAGAAAGACCAACAGCATGAGCAAGAGCCCTGATGTGAGCCTGCTGGAGAACTGAACAATATGGCTAGCAAGAGACGAAGATTGGGGGTGGGCAGTGGCCAAACCATGCAGGACTTTATAGGTATGTTGAAGATCTCATATTATATCTGGAGAAATAAATGTGTTTTCTTAGAGCTTTGAAGACTTTAAATAGCAAGTGACATTTTTTTTTTCTTTTTAGGCTGCTGGTAGGAAAAGAGACTGAAGGGATACAGAGTACATGCAGAAGGCAATGGGGAAAGATAATGGTGGCCTCAAGTGGAATGGAAACATAGTGGAGATTGAAAATCAGACAGGTTTGAAAGAGATTTTTCCAGAAAAGTAAATACAGACTTTGTGACAAACTGGTTGGGGGTGGGGAGGGGAGGTGAGAACAGAAGTGAATGTTAAACTCTAGCCTTCTGGCCTGAGCCACTTGTTGGATGGAGGGGATGAAAAACACAGGAGAAACAGGCTGAAAGGTTGGGTAATCAAGAGCTCAGTTCTTGAGAAGTGTCAGATACTGTCATGTATTGACTGAGATGTACCAGACACTATGTTAGCTATTTCACTTGTCACAGCATCCCTTTTAGGAACAGTATTCCCATTTTACACAAAGCAAACTGTAGATCATGAGGTTGAAGTAGCATGGCCAAGCTAAATCAGTTCAAAGTGACAAAGTCACTTGCTACTCAAGTCTGGTTGGCTGGCTGTGGGGTAAGCATTCTTTTCACTATACACAGTTCTTGGAAACTATGTCCATACTTCCCATTTTGAAATCTACATGGGGTTGGAGCAAGCTAGCACCCAAGGTGAGTAAACAGGTGATATGTTATTTTTTATTTTTATTTAAAAAAAATTTTTTTACAACGTTTATTTATTTTTGGGACAGAGAGACACAGAGCATGAACGAGGGAGGGGCAGAGAGAGAGGGAGACACAGAATCGGAAACAGGCTCCAGGCTCTGAGCCATCAGCCCAGAGCCGGACGCGGGGCTCGAACCCATGGACCGCGAGATCGTGACCTGGCTGAAGTCGGACGCTCAACTGACTGCGCCACCCAGGCGCTCGGATATGTTATTTTTTAAATCCAAGTTCTCAGGGGTGCCTGGGTGACTCAGTTGGTTAAGCGTCCGACTTCAGCTCAGGTCATGATCTCACAGTCTGTGAGTTTGAGCCCCGTGTCAGGCTCTGTGCTGACAGCTCAGAGCCTGGAGCCTGCTTCAGATTCTGTGTTTCCCTCTCTCTCCCCCTCCCCTGCTCATGCTCTGTCTCTCTCTGTCTCAAAAATAAATAAGAACATTAAAAAAAAATTAAAAGAAAATAAATCCAAGTTCTCAGATTTATGATGCATAATGTTTCCCTATCCCCTCTCCACTTCTCCCTGCAGAGTTTTGCAATGTTTTGAACACCCGCAAGATACCTAGGACCTTAATGGTTTACAATAAAGGAGCAAAGCCACTATGCCAGAAATCAACGATAATGAAAAGAGCAACAACACCCAGCAGTGAACAATATTTTTACTCACAAACCATACATGAATCAATATAAGACAGATCAACTGAGTAAGAAATTCTGAAAAACTATTTCTCAAAATGGCTAAACCATTCAAGTAAAAAATTAATGCAAGTCACCCAGTACAGAAGGCTACAAAAGGAAGTATTGAGATTCCCATTAAACAATCAAAAACTTAAAAGGATACAATGTTAGGCAAAAAGAAAGGATACCATAACTGTAGAATTTAAAATCTGGAATTCCCAAATATCTCAACCAAATGCCAAATTCAGTAAATGTGCATGCTAAAACCTGAACATTCTTCTTTTTAACTGCTTTTCTCTGCAGCACATTGACACTTTAGCAAACTGAAATGCCTTTCCTATCTGCACAGTCTCATGATTCTCTCCCTCTCTGGGCTGATGTCCCCCTCAGCTATTGAAGCCAGAAATTAGGCTTGATTAATGAACCTAGAAAGAACTCAATGCATTACTAACAATTGTGTCTATTACTGAAAGTACCAGCTTGAGGCTCTTAAAAGGAGAGAAAATGAGGAAGGGAGAGATTTTTGAAAGGTCTTATCGCCTACATTACAAATTCTATTTTGTTAAGTCTGATCCTTCAACAGAATAATCAAATTACATTCAGTCTTCTTAAAGCTGGGTATGGTCACATGTAATTTTCATGGTTTTGGGAGATTCCCCATGGAGATAAATAAAAAGTAGCATTAATATGCCCACTAAAAGATAAACACACAAACCACCCCCCCCAATGATAGTACTACAGTGTCCTTCTGCCAGATTCTTGTGTCCACCTGCACCTCTCCCTGCAGAGATCTAGCTGGCATTCACTACTGCCTCACCCAGGCAAAGGACGGGATGCTGAAAATCCATTAAGAAAAGCTTCCCGTTTTCTAGTCCTTCAAAACAGGATCGCCAACTGCTGACAACCCAAAGAAGAAAGAAAAAAAAAAAAAAAAAAAAAAAAAACAAAGACGGGGGGGGGGGGGGGGAGGAGGACTACCTGAGGCCTTCTACCAGAATGAGGGGTTAATCCAATCGGCAGAAAAGCTGAGCTCTATACCTTTTTAAAGGTCCTTTCTAGTGACACAACAGATCTAACGAAGAATTGCTGAGCCACATCATACTGGAAAATTTGTAAATGTTCCTCCTCGCTGTTACCAGGCTGGAAGAATTCTTTTTAATGCAATGCTGTGATGCACTGACACAGCTAACCTGATGGGTTTCACAGCTATGAAATGTGCCCTGCATCTATTTCTCTTCTAAGTCCCTAAAGACCAGGGGCAATGCTGACCCGTAATTACATTCAACGCTTGCTCTGCTCAAGATGCCATTTGATGCTGAAAAAGTAGTGGTTTAGCAACACCAGGCGGCTCTAGGATGCTAAAATAACAACGCCAACACTCAATTACGAACCCAGGTACTCGCTTGTAAGCTCTAGTGCCGCACAAGGAGCCACATTCAAAGCTCACGTCCCTTCAGGTTGAAGCTTATGATGCTTTCTGCTATGAACCCTCGCAAAGTTTCTAGTCTGCAAAACGGAATTACTTTTAAAGTCCCCTCGTCTGGACTCGCCTCTCCAGACGGGTTGGCGGCAAGGGGAAATAGGGACGGAGGACGGTTAAGCGTTCAAACAAAATTTTAAAACCTAAAAACCAATCCTGTTTTCAGAGGAGAAAGTAAGCGTTCACCAAACCGCCACCCGGCAAGCGAACATCCGATTTCCATTTGGAGAGAAAAATGTTAAAGAAGCCATACATACATTTCCCTGCCCAACAAAAGTGGCCTCTAAACTCCCCTGCCAAGGACACTGGGAGGAAACAGAGAAGCAGGACACAAGCTTGTACTTCTCAGAGGCGCGTGTGCGCGGCGGGCAGAACGCGCAAAGGCGAACACAACAGGGAAAAGGTGAACCGGAGGAACTGGGAGCCAGTGGCCGCAGGGTAGAACCGGCGAAGAAACCCAAGGTGCAGACGGAGGGGTGAGGGGGCGGGGAAGGGAGAGCCCGAGGCTCCAGGAGGAGAAGGGAGGGATCCTAGACGTTGCCCAGAAATCGCAGCAGCGGAGTAAAGTTAATACTTACTCAGTTTCGCAACTGCGCCGCCCCCGCAGGCCGCCCGCCCAGGCCGGCCGGGGCGCTGAGGACGCGACGGCGTCCGAAGCTCGGCGGCCGCCCAGCTCCTGTCCCGGCCGTGCCGCCCGGCGCGCCTCCCTCCGCCGCACTCGGCGGGCCGCACGCCCCGCA